CAGGGGACAGTGTGCCACATGCGGCCCCACGGGGGCTGGGGAGGGGCTCACCTTGCCAGAAGGAGAGGAAGATGACGGACTTGACCATGAAGAACTTGAGGACGGGGCTGTAGGGGCTGAGCAGCTCCCGCGTGGCAAAGTAGAAGAGGAAGAGGGCGTAGAGGGCCAGGCTGACGGAGACGTTGTAGATGATGGTCACGTACAGGTAGCCGCTGGCGACGCTGCGGGAACAGGGAGCGTCCTGGCTCAGACAGGCCCTTCTGCAGGGCAAGGGGCCTCCCCCGTCCTGCGTCCCACCCCGATGCCAACTCCTATGGCTCTCAGCAGTGCTGCCCGGGCCACAGAGAGGTAGGTGACCGCAGCAGGCACACCGTGACAGGGGCGCAGGGGGTGCGCCCGCAGTCTGGGGCGGGCCCGCCGCCTCTGCTTCCCTCACGGGCGCGTCTGAGCCGCCTGCCTGCAGCTTCCGGTGCCCCCCTCCTGGGGGAGGACGCTGGCCTGACGGCCAGTGTGGCCGGGGCGGGCGCTCAGCCTGACGGTCAGATGACAGGTGTCAGCGGGCCTGAGGGATCGGCTTGCTCCCTCCACCTGAGCCCAGTCACGCCCCGCTGGGCCTGGGTGTGCTCGCCCGCCCCGGTGGGCTGCTGCGTACGGTTTGCGTGGCAACCTCCCAGAGCGTTTGTGGACCGTTTACGCAGGAGAGGCTTGCTGCCCGGGGACTCGAGAGTGGCCTCTGGGGGCTCTGACCCTCTCGTTCCCTGAGTGGAGGACCAGCGGCCGCTGTCCCTTCTGAGCCCGCCCCCAGGGCCCCAGGCTGCGGCCTGTGCGTGAAAGTGACAGACACTGAGGGGCTGATCACTCCTGTGCTGGAGGCCGGGTCTAGTGCCGCCACCGGGCTTGGGCCTCGAGGCTCAGGGGCGCCAGGAGGCGTGAGGAGGGCTCGGGCCGCCTTGGCCCCGCCCACAGGGAGGCTCCGCGGGTGCGTGTGCAGCCGGCCCGCTGCCCCACTCACTCCCCCAGCCGGGGCGGCAGCCTCCGGCCGACCCTGACCCCAGCACCCTCCCCACTCTCCCCTGGGGCCCGCTGCTTACTCAAAGTCGCCGTCCCGGTACTTGCCGAAGGCCTGCAGGACCACGGTGCTGACGGCCATGAGCGGCTTCACCACGCAGAACTGCAGGGTGGCCTGTGGGGGGAGGGGCGGGGGCCGAGAGTCACGGTGCGGACAGACACCGAGTGGCTGACACCTCCTCTGGCAGGAGGCCTGCGCTGGATGCCAGGGGGTGAGGGAGGCCCAGGGTCCTCTCCCGAGGGGACAGCCATCGGGAGGGGCAAGCAGAATCGGTGAGACAGTGATAGTGGGACTCAGCCGCCCCAGGAGGCAAGGACACGAAGGGAGGCTGGGTGGTGGAAGGAGGAGGGATAGAGGAGCGGGAGGCAGGAGATGCCACCAGGGAAGGGATGGGAGGAATGAGACACCGACAAGGGGACAGGGAGGAAGAGCAGCTCCCACGGAGGCTCACAGGCCGAGAATGGACACGGCCAGCTTCTGTGCTGGTGACGGGCGGCAGCGCTGAGGTGGCCGGGGGAGACAGGGCCCTGTGCGGGGACTGGCCACACGGGCGGCGGGGACGGGTGAGGAGGCCCCTGGTCCTCCTGGTCCACCCCAGCCTGGCCGCCTGCCCACGGCTCTGGGTCCGGGTCCAGGGTTGCTGTCGAGCTGGGGTCCTACTGAGGGTGGAGGTGGCATGCGGGAGCACGAGACAGGAAGCAGCCCACGGCAAAGGTCTCGAGCTCAGACACCTGAGTCCGACTCCTGGCCTCACCAGCTGCCAGCTACAGAAGCTTGAGCGAGCGGCCACTTAGCCTCTGGCAGACGGACGTGACCAGGACCCTCACGACAGGGTCGCTGTGCGGGGACTGGAGCGAGAGACAGCAGTGCCCTGAGGTCCCCCACCTCTGCGCACTCGGAGGCCTCGGCCGGCCTGCTCGGCCCCCGGGGGGGTTCCTCCCGCAGCCTCCACAGCTCCTGCAGAGGCCCAGGACACCGGGTCTCTTGAAACCAAGGAAGTCCAAGCGACAGGGCCCCTTCTGTGGAGGTGGGAGCAGTGGAAAAGGGGTGCACTAGTGTGGCTCCAAACAAGGCAAGGGGACCCCGGGCAGAGAGCACGGCCAGCTGACCCCAGGGTTCCGGGAGCTGGAGCGAGGCGTGCAGGGGAGCCCCGGCAGTGTGAGCCGTGGCGTCGCTGCCAGGAGAGGCGTGTGATGGGGCCAGAGGTGCAGCGCCGCTGTCAGCACACCCCACGTGTCTCCCCGGGCCCCACCACCCCGCCATGGGAGGCGGGGCCAGCGCCTGCAGGGGAAGAGGGAGCAGCAGCCCCCCACGCTGCGTGCTCAAGTTGGCCCTGGGAGCCCGGCCACAGGCCAGTGCTGTCTGGGGTCGGCTCACGTCATGCTGACCACAGCCCCGTGACGTAAGTACTGTCGTCACCCGGCGACAGATGAGGGCGCTGAGCAATAGCAAAGCTGAAGTGGCAGAGCGACGGGAGCCTCAGATACCGGGCAAAGGCCCCAGTTCTGTGCCCTGGGATAAAGCTGCGGCCGCTCCTCTCCCGACCACGCAGAGGGGAGGCTTCCTGCGCCCTCTTCCCTGCCCCCACCTCCCCGTGCCACCTCCAGGAACAACAGGGGGACACGCGAGCCTGCAGGGCTGGGGTGACTGGTAACGGGGCAACCGAAGCGAGTGCTCGCAGGATCACACTCTGTACACAACGTAACCACCACCGAAGAAGGCAGCCGTGAGTCACAGGGGCCCTGGGCGGCCACAGCCTTCGGTAAACAATGGCTGGAAAGGCCCCACCCTGGGCTCGGGGTGGTTTTAACTCTTCCCCTGCAGGTCCAGTGGGCAGAGCCTGCGTTTGCGAACACCCTCAGGAAGGAAGGCCTGGAAGCAGACTGGAGGCCTGGGAAGCCCAGGCAGGCGCCCTGCGGGTGTGGCTGCACCCCAGGCCGTGGCCCTACCCGGAGTGAGGGGAAAAGCCGGCCCTCTGGTGGGTCACAAGGATTGGCTGTGGGTTTCACCATTTCCCCTCCTGATTGCTCTCGGAGATGCCTGAGGGGCTGGAAGGGCCCGGGGAGCCCCAGAGGAGACTGAGTCAAGGTCAGGTCAGCTGGGCATGACACGTGACTCTCCCTTCCCAAACAGGAGGCGGTGGGCGCTGTGCCAGCACAGTTCGCACGCTCAGTATCCACCCCCAGGCCTGTTCTTTAAACCATCCCTTGAGATAAGGATCATCACGCCCATTTTACAGAAGGAACTAAGGCTCAGAAGTCAGTCAGAGGAGAAGCTGGAACGCACACTCCAACGGTCAGACACCCAGGCCCGTGCCCTCGGCCGCGAGGCCACACTGCCATCGCCCGGGCTGCGCCAGACCACGGGAAAGCAGTGGAGAACGCCAGAAACTGCTGGGCTGCCAGCTGGGAAATGGGGCCGAGACCAGAGCCTGCCCGGGCGTGTCTGGGCATCTACCCTTAACACAGAAACCCTCCTTCTCCCCAGCCCCCACTGTGAGACGTTTCTAACCGAGATTCCAGAACCCCCACGCACTTCCTCCGACTCACACACACACTGAGACTTGGGCAAACGGAGCGAGAGTCTGGGACCACTTCTTGCCTAGGACGCTTGTCACTGCCTCTCTGAGCACGCCTTGTGCAGGGGCGCCCCAACCATTGGGGGGCCTCACAGGACATAGGGATTCCACAGGCGGCGCCCAGGGCAGCCTGCAGCAGGGTCCTCAGGCCCTACGCCTGCCTCTGCCACTCTGCCAACCAGGGACAGCACAGCCCACAGCTGCCACTCCAGGCACAGCCCTAGGCTCCTGGTCCCTGGCCCGCAACTCCTGACCCAGGCAGCTGCCGGGGACACAGACCTGCTTGCAGAACCGCAGGAATCCGATGGAGTAAGTCTTTCCCCAGAGGCAGCACGTGCCGTACACACAGCTGGACCTGGAAGAGACGAGCAGAGAGGGGACGGTGCGCAGAGAGCCAGGAGCAGGGGGAGGTGGGGCTGGGGGCGCCCTCCCTCACAGCCAGACAAGCCACAGCAGAGCAGGGTGGGGTGGGGATGGGGCGCAGGGCCCAGGCAGACTTGGAGCCCAAGGCCAAGTGCAGGGAGACACTGGGGAGCACCGCGTGCAGCTGCGGTGAGACGCGAGGGAGCGGGGTGGATGGGCTTTGGGGTAACACACCAACTTCACAGGCACTGAGTGTGAACAGTGCAGGAGGGAGGAAGAAACGGGAGAAGAAAGGAAGAGAGAGGGGGAGACAGAGCCAGGGAGGCCCTCCCAAGAGCCCCAGGGAGTGGCCTTGCGCAGGAAGTCCGAGAGAGGCACAACAGGTCAAGGCCACAGGCAGAGAGGGTCTGTGCGCCCAGCTGCCGCCGGAACAGCTCGGAGAATGTCAGGCCCAGGACGTGGGGTGGGGTCGGGGGCCTCCTGGGGGGGGGGCTTCGTACTCACTCAATGGGCTTCCCTCTGATCTCTGACATGATGGAGCTCTCCCCGCCGAGGTACTCGTAACACAGGCTCAGGAAATTGTAGATGACCAGGGCTGTGAAGAGAGAGTCCACAGTGAACCAGTCACATCAACGGGGTGGGCAAGCAGATGGCGGAATTCTGAACAGCAACGAAAGTGAAAGAACCCGTCACGGGCCGCAACGGGGAGCCCCCCCGGGGACGGAGACCCCACACCGCAAAGGCGCTGTCTGGGATGAAAACCAGGCGCACGCACGCGCACTACAGCTCGCTCTGTGAAGCAAAGCAAGGGAGGGGTGGCCACAGACTCAGGACCTCGGACCGGAGTGGGGTGCGGGCCGGGCACAGTGGGGACCTAGGGGAGCTGCGGCGGGCCAGCTCTGGGGTTCAACTAGGTATCGGCCTTGTCATTTATTCGCCTTATGCACTTTTCCGTTTGTGTAACACATCACAGTTTCACAACAGAACAACAACAAAACATTCTCCAGCGGGATCTCGGGAGACGTCTAACCAAGCACACAAGACAGCAGCACCTCAACCCGCCCAACAGCCACCTTCGCCTGCACGGAGCATCTGGGCACGGCGCACAAACGTCTCGAGAAGCTGGGTCAGCTCTTTCCGAATCAGGATGCAGCTGGACATCCCCACCAAGACACAAAATTTGCAACGGCGACCGCCAGCAGAGAAGTGTGTTGTAAGTGCTATGTTATAAATATAGCAGCGCGCTGTAACGTCTCCTGGCCAGAGGATTTCTGCTGGGTCAGCAGAGTGCCGGCGATGGCCTGCAGGGTGCGGAAGTAGGGGTGTGTGTGCGCGCAGGGGCGTGGAAGGAGAGCCAGTGCAGGGAAGGAGTAAGAGGAGTGTGGCAGACGACACTGCGAAGGAAGGGTGCAGGAGGGTCTGTAAATGGGGACAGAAAGAGCACCTACCTTCACAGGGGCCGTGAGGCTGAAGTGAGCACGCAAGGTGCTGGGGACAGCTGTGGGCCCCCGGCAGGGCTCCCCGAGTGTGGCCTGCCCCAGCCCGCCCTGTCACCTGCCTGCCTTCCTCAGGGGCCAGAGCCCCTGGATGGGGCTGAGGACGGGGCACGCTGCCTGCCTGGCGCGGAAGCAGCCCAGAGGCCTGGTGACAACAGCCCCCGCCCCCCACGGAGCCCCAGGTTGCTCACCACCGACAAGTCCTGTGGGGCGTGGGGAGCGGGCACCAAACCAAGCATGATGTCAGCCTGCTGATGACCCCCGTCCAAAACCACCCGTGGCCGAGCAGAACAGACGAGTCCATTGCAGGCTGGGCCCAGTCACACTGTGGTCTGCGGCATTTTCCAGAGACAGCCCCACCCCCCACACTGGCACTCCTCCTCGGACAGCAGGGGCTGTGTTCCCGCCCTCACATGTGGCGGGACCAGGGTGATGACAGCGGAAGTCACACTGGGTGACATCTGACGCTGGGGTTAGAAAAGACCTCTTTCCTCCGGTTCCTTTTTTTTTTTTTAATTGAATCTTTATTGTATTTTTCCATTACCATTTAGTCCCCTTAGCCCCCCTGCCCCCCACAGTCCCCACCCTGCTGTCCATGTCCACGAGTCCTTTTTCCTTTTTGCTCAGTCCCTCCACCCCTAACCCTCCCCACCCCCAACGGCTGGCATCTGCTCTCCAGCGATGAGCGTGTCTGTTTCGCTTGTCAGTTTAGTTTGCTATTAGATTCCACATAAGAGGGAGATTATACAGGACTTGTCTTTCTCCGACGGGCTTACTTCACTTAGCATAATGCTCTCCAGGTCCATCCATGCTGTCAAAAAAGGAAAATTTTCTTCTTTTTTATGGCCGAGAAGAATCCCACTGTGTGAAGGTCCCACAGCCGTTCTATCCACTCATCCGCTGAGGGACACGTGGGCTTTCCTCCGGTCCTTGCTCCTGAGACGCCAGCCCTTGGGCCCCGCCCCCAGGCGAGGAGCCCACTCGAGAGGCTCGTGGCAGAGGGGGCGAGGCCCCCAGGAGACCCACCTCCAACTGCCAGACACACACACGCGTGAATCAGACCTCAGATGATTCCTCTTGAGCCTGCGTCTTCTCCCGCGGAGACCCAGACACCACAGGGCAAGGCCGAACTATGCCCACCGGGCCCTGTCCACGCCCTGACCTGCACCATCCATGAACAAGTAAGCGAACAGCTGTTCCACGCCAGTCTCTGTGGGGTCATCCCTTACACAGCCACAGTGGGCGGAACAGACACAGAACCACTTCTGGAGTTTCAGGGACATTCCATGATCTCTCATGTGTCCCCGAGGTCACGCATTCTGGTCCCTCTGCTAACTCCCAGAGGCAGGCCCAGCGGCGATGCCGCCTCCTTCTTGGTGGCCTTCTCCGCCCTGTTGCCACGCTCACTTCCCACACGGCGATCTCTCTGCTCATCGACTAGACCCTCCCGGGGCAAGGCTCAGCGTGAAGCAGCAGGAAAGCCATGAGCCCGGGGCTCAAGCTGCCTGGGTGGGATCTTGGTTCTGCCACTCAGGAGCCGTGTGGCCTCAAGCAAGTTTCTCCAGTGCTCTGTGCCGCGGTGTCCTCGTCTACAGGCCAAGGATCACAGGAGCTCCTTCCTCGTGAAGAAGCTGTGGGGACGGCCTGGGGGCAAGGGGGTGCCTTAGACAAGCCTGAGCTCACAGCCAGTGGTCCACAGGGTGCTGTCACCCGCTGCTCTCCCGAGACTGCAGGCTCCTCGCCGGCAGAAACTGAGGCCCACCCCCAACCACCACCAGAGGCCCTGGCACTCACACACAACAGACGCACTGGGGAGCTGAAGGAGGACAGCTGGGGGGTGGGGAGCATGTGGCTGCAGGCAGGCACCTAAACCAGAAACCTCCCACAGCAGAAGTCACTGCTGAATGCGACACAAAATGGAACGACCGAGAAACAACGGTATGAGCACATTTTCAGGTTATTCCAGGGGCAGGAGAGTTGGAAGAGTTGGAAGTGCAGTGGACTTGGGAGTGGGGAGGAGCTGGGGCAGCCTGTTTCCATCACGTGCAGTTAAGACTTCAGTAAAAGTAAATTGTAGCCCCAGCAGCTGTGGCTCAGTGGATTGAGCGCGGCCTGCGAACCAAAGATCACCAGTTCGATTCCCAGTCTGGCACATGCCTGGGTTGAGGGCCAGGTCCCCAGTCACACATTGATATTTCTTTCCTCTTCCCCTCTTTCTAAAAATGAATAAAATCTTTAAAAATAATTACAATGACGATGATGATAAAGATAAAATGTTAGTCGATTTAATTTTGTTAAAAAGGAGAGTGGCCCTGGCTGGCGTGGCTCAGTGGGATGAGCGTCACCCAAGAAGGAAGGTCACCAGTTCGATTCCCAGTCAGGGCACGTGCTCGGGTTGCGGGTTCGATCCCCGGCTGGGCCGCGTGTGAGGGACAACTGACAGATGTTTCTCTCTCACATGGACGTTCTCCCCCTCTCTTTCTCCCTCCCTTCCCCCTTCTCCAAACAGTAAGTAAACAGAGTCTAAAAAGGAAAGAGAGAAAAGCAAAGCAAACGTCCGCCTGACAGCCAGCAGGGAGCCCGTCTCGTCCGGGGGAGGAGTTCTGTGGCCCAGCCCATCCCCTCCTGCCTTCTCGGGTCTCCGGAGACTGGGAGGAAGGGTGGGACCAGTGGGGGCTCCTTCTAAACTTTAAGGGCCACCCCATCATCACCTAGCCCGCAGGGGCAGTCCCCGTGGGCAGCTGCAGCACTCGTAGGCACACAGCAGAGCTGCGGAGCAGGGCAAGGCGGGGCCAAGCCCACCAACCCAGGCACCACACGCTGGTGAACTCGGGCAGCCTGGACTGCAGGGCAGCTGCTGCCCTGTTTGCAAACTCCCTGGGAGGGGCCGTGGCGACACCAGCGTTGCTAGGCGATGCAGACTTCCCGGGAAGACCGTTGTGTGTTTACCCGGCTGGGAGGAAGGTCTGCACAGGCAGGGCCTGAACAAAGAAGCCTGTGGAGTGGGGGGAGCCACCCCATCTGCCACCACCTCTGGGGCACGGAGTGAGGGTGACGCGGAAGCTCCCTGGCTGTGCCCCCGCTTCTGCCCTGCACCCCAGTCTTCAGGGCCTGCCCCCTGAGCACACAGGAGAGGCCCCCTCGGCAGGGGACAGCTGAAGGAACCCAAAGGAGTTCTGAACTCCTGAACTGAAGGAGAGGCCATCTACTCCTGGGCACCCGCGCGAGGCTGGCAGCTGGGCGGAAAAGGATTCTTGGCCCCACCTGCTCCAACCCCAGCCGTTGTGGCTCCCCAGGTACCCAGCGGTTTCCCTGGAGACTCTGCTGCTTCCAGGAACAGCAGGCCCTGGAGCCCCACCTGGCCTGAGCCTTCACACCTGGCCGAGCTGGGCAGGGACGCCAGCCAGGAGGTGTAACGAGGCCCCGTGTGGGTGAACACAAGGCACCTAGCAGGTGTTCCAGAAAGTCCCTCATTCGTTCAAAAAAAAGAGCGAGCACCTATCGCGTGCCCGGCTCACAGCGCTGACGGCCCACTCAGGAAGGCGAGAACAGAGCAGGCACACACGGGGCTGCACACTGCGTAAGGCCATGTGGACGCGGGCAGGGTGCTGGGCGGGGGAAGGCCTCTCTGAGGGGACACCGGGGTCAAGGCGGAGGAGGAGGCCGGAGAAGAGCTTTGCAGGCAGTGGGCGAACACCTGAGGTGTCCAGGCCAGAAAGGAGGCCAGGGTGGCCGAAGAGGCACGGTGGGCGCAGTGCGTCAGGGGCCTGCATCTCCCCACCGGGCCCAAAGGCACCCCCTGTGCCTGTGGGTCCTCGGGAACACGCGGGTTCAAAGTGGAGCAGGAACTCCGGCTTCTCAGGGGCGCGCATGCACACGCATGCACACGCATGCACCCCCGTGCTCCTGAAGCCCAGCGCCGAGGACAGAGCCCTGCTGGGTCAGGGGGCAGGTCGTCGGGGTGGGCAGAGCGGCCTGGCCTCCGCACCAGCAGTGCAGGTCCAGGGGACAGGAAACGCAGGACTGCGAGGGCGGGGCGTGCAGCAAAGAGGGGGTCTTGACGCCGAGGGCCCTCCCCGCCAACCCTGCGGGTCTGCCTGGGTGCTGACCAGGGCATCCCTGGCCTATGACCTGTTCTGGGGCCTCGGGCCCCTCCTCTCCCGACTTTACCCGAGTCCACACGGAGACTTTTGTAGCCTGCAGTTCTGACCGCATCGTGTTTTCATGTGTCAACAAGCAGTGGGAAAATGTCTGTCTGCTCCGCAAGGCTGTGTGTCCCGGTCCTGCCTCTGGTGCAGTGCCCCCTCCTCTGGCTCCCCGGACAGCGCCCCCACGCCCGGCTGGGTACACTGGGACTCCTCCCGCCCCTGCGATTTGGGCCGGAATGGATTCTGCTCCTCAGCCTCCCCACAACCGGCACCAGCTCATTCTAAGTCTCAGGTCCCCGCCCTCCCCAGGCCAGGACCACCGGGCCCGATGAGAGCGAGCGCCTGTCCCTGCGGAGACGGCTCGGGTGGCACAGGCTCCTGCGGTGGGGGGAGGCAGGGCGAGGGCTGGCTCTCCTCCGTGCAGCCCAGCCTGCGCCTGCAGCTCAGCCCCAGCGCAGGCGATGCTTCTGCGTCCCACGCAAGCACAGAGGCCCCCAGAAGGCGGTGGGTGAGTCACCTTCCTGGTGGCACAGCAGAGTCCCACCTCCCCAAGAAGCCCTCCGAGTTAAGGCACGTCGGGGGAGGGAGGTGCAGCCCGGCCGGCGCTGTGCCACAGACGGCTGCACAACCCCCGGCCCGTCTGCACCTGGCGCTTCTACCTGCAAACCCGACCACCTGTTCCCCGCCTGCGCCCCCATCTGAGACACCCGGACTGAGGAACGAGGCGTGGCTGGAGGGCCCCTGCTTCCCAGCACCTGTGACGGGGCTTTGGGAGCCGCAGCGCACAGGGCGCCCGCAAGGTGAGGCTCTGGCTGCACCTGTGCCGCCGCCACCTGTGGCCCTGGCCCTGGATGGAGACCCTGAGGCCGTCAAGAGGGGAGGGGGACCCCGGAGGGGGCTCGGGGGGGAGAGTGGCTGGTGGCTCCCGGACGCCCGCCCGCCCGCCCGCGCGCACTCACCCTCGTAGCAGTCCCGCACGGTGCCGAAGTACACGTAGTACTGGTCGTTGGTGAAGAAGAGGAGGCTGAGCCAGGAGTCGAAGGCGTAGATGGGCACGATGAAGAGGACGCGGACGATGTAGCGCTGCTCGTTGGGGCAGCTGTAGCAGCGCAGGTGCATGTAGATCTGGGGACAGAGGGGCCGCGTCAGCGGGGGGCCCGGCGGTCCCAGCAGCGCGCCCCCCACCCCTCTGCACCCCCCCGGGAGGAGCCCCGCCGCGGGGACATCTAGCTCTGCCACTTGCTAGTTCTGCGACCACGTCACTCAGCCCTGAGCCTCGGCCTCCTCCCCGGCACAACAGGACAATGAGACTTCCGGCGTGAGGCCGCCGTGAGCGTCAGCACACGGGGTGCAGAAGTTCGTGGGGTTCGGGCGGTGGTGCCAAGGCCAGCCGCCCAGACACAGAGGCATGACACCACACCCAGCCAAGACCGTCCAAATCAGAGTCAAGGACAGGCCAGGGCATCCAGGTATGACACGCCCCTGGGACCCCCCGAGCACAGCCAGGTCCGTGTGGTGCGAGGAGCGTCCCCACGCCCCACCTGCTGCAACCCCGGTCCCCGGGCCGTGCAGCTGAAACGGGCGTGCGGGTGAGCGCCCACCCCACCTCGTCCCGTAACTACCACATGGTGTGGGGGCGGGGGAGACGGGGCCACTGTGCCGTCCTCGTCCACGTCCTCCTTCCCCCCCGGCGGGGCACGGGGCGGCGCTCCTGCCTCATGGGGCGGGGCAGTCGGGAGAAGGAAATGTGATTTTTAGAAAGCAGGGAAAGTAACAGCGAC